CCATGTGGCATTCATAGAACACCGATGAGGCAACTTGTGCTGGCCACACCGGGAAGGATGATGCGTACAATACTCAGTGAGTATTACTTACGCTTTGTAATGAGAACCCAAATGTTCCTGAATTCTTGTAGCGTAACTCTACAGCTCAAGTTGCACAAGAACTGTCCCCTAGCCATGTTCTAGTATATCCATATTTGGATTGTCTTCAACCTAGACCAAGGAGTTGTTGAGAATGCTTCGTATCAGTGACTAAAACCATAAAACAATCCCACATGCCGTACGTCAACGCCCTAGTGCTTTACGAAGATGCAGTGGATACCGAGCTTAAGAGACTGGGAAGTTTATTGTGTAAGTACAGAGGGTCGGACGTTTACAGCGTGAGCGTCCAACCTTCTGTGCTCAAACTTTCTGTACCATTAGGGATCTATGATCGCGACCCACCTCGCCCTGTCCAATCCTATAGGGTTAGTGGAACCCAACAGAGAGGATTGAGGGGATAAAAAAGCCTTAATTAAGCTTGATCAGCCTCATCATGAGGTGACCGTTTCATCATGCGGTGTGGCGGGCGCAGTGGCCTCAAAGATACAGAAATAGTGTTGAATCCTTGTAATGCGTTCGACTAGGAGAAATATACACAGTGTGCTGCACACCCCCATCGAGGTCTCCTCCTTGAACCGGGAGGGAACTGGGATGGAATGGGAACGACCGGCAACTGGAGATCTACTCAGAAGTTGAAATACACTAGGGGGTCGTTTGATAAACGACCTCCGATCTAATTCCGAAGCTCAGACGCAATTCCAGAATCGCTTCTTACACGTTTAATACGACGCTAGATTCGATTCCGAATACTAGAATTGGTTCAATGAACATGGGGTCGATCTACTCTACTAGGAGCCGTTTCATAATTGGCGTGCGCTACTGAAGATACTAATTATGAGGAGTATGAGCTTAACACATCTAACCAAGAGCTAGACTCGATAAGAAAAGCTGGTACTAGAAAGTTTACCTTCATGATGAGCTAGGGCTGTTATCTTGCCAGCATTATACTTGCTGTGTTACTCCTGAAAAGTTGCCTAAGAAACGACACGTGTGAATTTCTCTCCCAAGGAACGAACATGGACGGAACGATGCCATATGAGACGCGACTCATACTGTGACCTCCTGTCAACTCCAACGAGAGGCAGATAATAATCAGTTGGAACGATGTAGTCGTAACTACTCGGGCGAGCGCTTTTTACAGCGCGCCCTGCAACTGAAAGCCAGCACTGACTGCCGTCCATGACGCTTGTCATCGTTGACTTGCTGCTTGTGAGTCTTCTATGTTGCCACTGACAGTTGCAAGCTTCGAGGAAAATCGAGGGAATTCTCATCGGTTTCTGTACACTTCTACCCGAATTTGTATGTAAACATCTATAATTAGTGAGGAAACTTCTGGACTAGGCTGAGGAATACGATCATTCATTACAGCACTGCCCCAACTCTATAAATTGTCTCTCTAAAATGCTCTTTTCTGCTCGCTAGGCTTCGCAGGATTCGCCTTGCTAGCCAAGCTGTGGAAACTTGTCTCTAGCCCTCTCTGAGAAGTTTCTAATAAGGTTGATCGCAAATTGCGACTCGCAATTCTTCCGTGGTGATAGTTTGTTGGTATTAGTCCGAGTCGCTGAAGTAATGTCCTCTTCTACTGAGGAGCTTTTCTCCAAAATTGGTGTTCGCGTTCCCTATACGTTGTTGCCAGCTGACGAAGTGGACAAGACTAAATGGGCTGTCATTGCTTGTGATCAGTGAGCAGTGAACTACTGGGGAAAGTGTTTCCTTTTCTTATAAGGAGTCTTCACAGGTACACTAGCGAGCCCGACTATTGGGACCGTGTGGAAAAGTTTGTCGGAAGTGAGCCCAGCACTTTAAGGTTGATGTTCCCCGAGGTCTATCTTGATAAGGGACGGGACGAGGAGGTGAGTTGCTGTGTTTGACGCTTTCATAATCTTCGCTGTGCGTAGATTCTCAGAGCATCTCTGACCACATGGCGAAGTACACTGCGGAAGGTATACT